TCAAATGGTTGACTGGACAGAATGACATTTTCTTAAACCTTCCCACCGAAGTTAATTTGTGTTTTTCCCCCCATGTGGAACAATTATTGCTTTGTGCCTAGAAATCAGGAAGTAATTAGTACCTAAGCCAGCATTCATCTGTCTTTTCATTCTTCATTGTGTTGGATTGTAGGTTCCATACTTTCCAACCAATGTCATACAAAATTACAATAATGGGTGTAGTAGTCGACAAGGGAAGACCAAGACCTGAAGAAAAAGGTTAGCTTAGGTCTTTCTTACAGAGTTGTAAATCCTTCCACGTGGTGAGTGTGGAGGTTGCAAATGTTCCATAAAAGCATAACTTGTAAAGTTCTATATTTTATATTCAAATACATGCCTTTGTTAGATCTTTTATTCCCCATCTTCTGTTTCTTGTGTGGAACTACAGGCTATGGAGTGACAGGAAGCTATTGGATCAAGATAGGGGAAATAAAATGAATGGTCCATAGTAGATCCCATCATTTGCCTTGATCTTTAAACAGCTGTTTTCATTCAGTGTTTCACTGGTTCTTTGTCCCTCTTCCTTATATGATGGATTTCAAGGGACTTTTAAGCTATGGTTTCCAGAATTTGCAAACCTGAAACAGGTCCATAACCCTCTAGAAAAATCAAAGGTTCAAAGGGAATTGGAGGGGTAGTCTCCCTTGCCCTCCCTTCCCCAACTACAAGACACAGAGCAGAACAGCTGCTCTATAAATTGTGTTCGTCTGATTTCCCTCCTACCCATTCTCTTGCTTCTCTGCCTATTTCTTCAGTTTATATAGTTAGTCCTCGACTTATGATCACAGTTGCGCCCAAAATTCATGTTGCTAAGTGAGACATTTGTTAAATGAGCTTTGCCCCATTTTACAACCTTTCTTGACACAGTTGTTAAATGATTCACCACAATTGTTAAATTAGTAAAACAGTTGTTAAGTGAATCTGGTTTCCCCATTCATTTTGCTTGTCAGAAGGTCGCAAAATATGATCACATGGCCCAGGGAAACTGCAGCTGTCATAAGTATGAAACGGTCATAAATCATTTTTTTCAGTGTGGTTGTAACTTCAAATGGTCACTAAACGAACGGTTGTAAATTGAGAACTCCCAGTATGCTGCTTCATTTCTAAAGACACAGAGCAGATTTGTACTCTTATTTCTAGAAAGAACACTTAACATGTCAGGAAGCAAATGTAATTATTTTAACCAGGAGACGTTTTAACAGTATTCTGATTACTGAAATTTTCCATATGGGGAAGAGGAGATGAAAGGATTTTGCTAAGATCCTGCTGAATCAGTGGCAAAATGGAAAAACAGGAATATGTTCTGTAGAAAATAGTTATTGGCTGCTTTTGGATCTATGGGAAGAAATATCTGTATCCTTTATCACATTCCATATGTTGATCTTGGGATTTAATCTCATAGTCCAACTTTCCTCAACCTGGTGGCTTTTAGATAATTTTGGACTATTCATAATCAGAACTCTGAGGCATCTTTGCGACTATATTCCTGTCTTCTCATTGTCATTCCCATCCTTATTATGCAAAAACATGACAATGGCCTTTTGGGAGAAGAACACATGCTTGGTTTTCTGATTAAATATTTCTAAAACAGCAAAATGGTTTTTCAGGTAAATTCGGATCAAGCTAAAAACTACAACTAGCAGGCAATGCAGTTTACAAAGTTCAGTCATCATGTGATGAAAACACATCATTTTAAGTTGAAATATGATCCCTAGCCCACCTCAAGAACTGTGACTTTGTCTTACATGGCTTAAACAGAAGGCCTTTTATCACATGCCTGGTGTTAATCAGTTCTTCGGTGCAGCAGTGTCCCAGGACCTTGGAATCCTTTGTATTATCTTCATTTAGAGAGGATAAAGAGTCTCTTTGCTAGAGATAGTCATCCTGTACTGATAATGGCTTTACTGGCTGAGAGATGTCACTCATTATCAGGCCAGCTTTACTGGCTGAGAGATGTCACTCATTATCAGGTCATGGCAAAGACCGACCATCTTTTGCTCAGTCAATTATACCTGCATCTGTTGAGGCCAGTCAGCCTCTGGTTTTTGTCCACTGCCATTTAGTCATGGACCTTTTCAATAAGAACAGATTGTTCCCTTCTCTAGAGGTTTGACCCTTAATTGTGTATTCTCTTTTCAGGGCTATATCACTATTTTGCCTCAAATTATTTGGACACTAAAGCTTATCAGCTTCCAAGTCAATTATGAGAGATTTTTCTTTCTTTTTGGTTATAGAATTCATGGGACCACAGTAAATAGCCACAATCTTACCACTGCTACAACTAACATGTATATATAAGGCTGTTCCCACAAAAGAGTTGGAGCCAGCTTCTTTGCATGAGCATAAGATAATTTCTCCTTTTGTTTCTCCTTGTGTCAAGGAATCCTTCCATTCATGGTTGACTTCAGGCAATTTCCCCAAAGATGCTTCCTTTATGCCTCTGCCAGATCCACAAGGTAGATCAGACTAAGACAGCAATACCATATAAATCAGAACTACTTTTATTGTAGTAGTTATAGTAACAGAATCTTGCAAGTCTGAACATATTCCTCCCCCCCCACAGCCAGCATCTTTATGTGAACTAGGTAGGGCTTGTTTGTCTGAGGCGTTTTCTCAAATTAGTTTCTGCTCCAGGCTCTAGCCCCATTTATCTGACTGTTGCCTTGTAGTGACTCTTCCTCCTGTCTTTCAAGGTCATTTCCTATACCCTCTACAATCTCCCTCCCTTCCTTATGCATGTTCTCACCACCACTATTTCCATTTCCTCCACACCCTCTGCATCCATTCTGGTCCAGCCATGAAGCACTGAGACACACTCATGAATTTGAGGCACGTCTAAGACTGTCTTTGTCATCAGTCTACTTGTCAGTCTTTCAAGGTAGACCAGGTCAGGAAATAAATACAAGAAATGCTGGAACTCTTTTTTATTATTATTATTATAGGATATACAAAAGCCTATGTACATTTTCTCTCCCCTTATACCATAAAGCAGGGGTGTCAAACTGCCGGCCCACAGGCCGGATGCGTCATGCTGAAACTGCACCCACCCCATTGCTGGTAATGGAAAAAAAGTCGCAATACGTCACGACATGTCACATGATGTTGCGAGTCTGACATCCCTGCCATAAATTATCAAGTTATAGGGTAGTCTTGATTTTTTTCCCCTCATCCTTTCCTATCTGTTCAGTCTTAGCTCATGTTCACCTGATCATTTATTGAATTCCTCCTTCAAGGCCATCCCCCTATTTCTCTACTTGACCTTAAATAAGCTTGAACTCAGCTGAAACTTTCCAGAAACTAAACACCAAACACTGCAAGGGTATGACAGAATTATTATTATAATATCAAGATCAAAGCCCTATTAACACAGTTGCCTCTTACAATTAAGGTTTTTGTTCCACTTTATAACAACTTAGATTAGGTTATTTTTCTTTTTTTGATGGCTTAGTAGGAAACCTACTTTATGCTTCCCATGGTGTGTGCTATTGATAGTGTCCACATTCCTATCCTGAGAACAAAAGTATATGGCACTTCCATTGCTGGATTTTTATGCAGCTTAATGAAAATACTTTGAGGAATTTATCTAAAAACTTCAGTTTTATCCCATGTCATGCCAGGTCTTTCATATTTTAGCTTTTCTCTTTCATCTGAAAAAAGTGATGCGTGGCTCCACTAACATTCATAAAAAGCCACGATGACATCAGAATGACCATATGCATCATGACATCATCATGCAAATAAGAACTGATGCAAGTTTGCTGAGTCCCTTGATTTATGTGGTAATGGATGCATGGTTGTTATTTCCTTACCCTCCCACACCCTTGTTGAATGCCATGTTTGGTTTCCATAACAATATATCTCCTCCCTTTTTCCTTTGTAAAGTGGCCCTTTTCTTTCCCTCTTGACCACAGTATTTCATGGTAAGCCTAGCATGTCCCTGCTGTTTGTGACTTGGAGCTTTCCTGTGATATCTCAGTGTTCATGTCAAAAACCTTTGAGTACACTGAGGTACAGCTCCAGTTCGCCTTTCAACTCCTCCCTAGCTAGGAGTTGAAAATGATTTGATGGCACTTTTATTGCTGGACTTAATGGTAACCCTGCCATGAAGGGCTTATAGGTCAATCAATCAGGCTTGGTGATAGAATCTTGTTTTTAAGATATTGCAAATGGCCAACAATGTTGGGGCCAATCTAATGTTTGTGAGAATGATGTGTCTTCCAAACAGCAGGCCCCATAGCAAAAAAAAGCTCTCATTATGGGTCCTATCAGATGGCATTCCCTAATAGATAGGACCCGGAAAGCGCTTTTAATGCTGGACCTAATGGGATGGGTAGGAGTGATTGTAAAGTGGTGGTCCCTAAGGATAACCCAGCCTTGTGTCATGAAGGGCTTTATAAGCCATCTTGAACTGCGCTGGAAGTGCACTGGCAAACAATATAGCTTGTGAAACAGAGATATAATATGCACTAATCAAGGAAGACACGAAGACACATAACTGTCTTTGCAGCTACATTTTGTACCAGCTATAACTTTTTCAACCAGGCAAACCTTTTCCTTTTCTTCAAAGTTTTTATAGCACCTTTCATTTGAGAATCTATTGGAAATTACATCATGGCTAAGTTAGTGGTAATTTCTTAAACAAGGTCTAAATAGTTTGTCTAAATTAGAATGGGATTCAAGATGATTTTGGGGTCATATAGAGCTTTGCAGACTTTACTGCCAAAATACGAATTACTCAATTTGAAAAGCTAGAGTTAGTTAATAGCCAGAGATTTTTCTGCTTGCTGTTCTCTTGATGTCAAATATCTCTCTCTCTCTCTNCTCTCTCCTCTCTCCTCTCTTCTCTCCTCTCCTCTCCTATCTATTTGTTTTATAAACACTCAGTTATATGTTTTCACATATTGGAAAAATATTTCATATATTGGAAAAATATGAATTTTTGTTGTCTTCCTCCCTTCTAGACTGGAGACCTGCTGTGATGCTGGGAGCTATAGATTGTGCTGATTTTTCCAATAAGAACGTCTGTTATAAATTTGGAATAAAGAGCTATCCCACTGTGAAGGTAAAAATTCTGTTGGTGAGGGTTACAATTCCTGTTCTCTCCACCCAGCATGATTTTGGGAAGTTATAGGCCAGCATCCCAGGAATAGTTGATCTAGATCTTTTTGCTCCATTTGGAACCAGCATTAGATTGCTGAGCATAGCAAAATCTGGTAGAGAGGCATACAATACCATCTGGTACATTCTTTAAGGAAGTTGGAAGCACTTGTACCTGCTGATCTCTCAGGAGGGGCAACTTGCAGCATCCCCAAACCCTCTTTTTGTGTCCTTTAGAAATTTGTGTAGCTGAATTTAGATGGCAAACTCTTCAGAAGGGCTACATGATTTCTTCCTGGAATTTTTGGTGGGGGAAAAAAAAGAGAAAAATTGGCACTATACACTTCAATGATCTCACTAACTTACATGTTAGTGGCCACCCTTTTATCTAGTGGTTAGTGATTATTTGTACTGTGCAAATGTGACTCTTACCACAGCCAGAAACAGACATGGATCCAGATTGCAAGTAGCAGAAGACAATCTAAAGACAGTTCACTGCCTTGCCGTTCATAGGCCAAAATGAATCTTAGATAATAGGGTTAGAGGGTGCCCTAGTCATCATTAAAGACTTTATTTATGAGGAATCAAAACTTTGATGAACCTGAGCGATTTTGTCAGTGAAATACTAACTATACAATTAGTTACAATAGCCAAATGGGAAATTTCTCTCTTGACTTTTTCCCTAAAAGAGAATTAGAAACTCTGAACAGGACTAACGGATGACAGTTATTGACTAAATTAGAGAAAAAAGGAGCTTATTACTGCTTTAGTGAAGACCATACTTTGTTGGATTTACAGTATGTTTTATCTTTCTCTGTTGGTACTCCTGATATCATTTTTGGTTTCCCAGGGCTTTAAAAGGGGCACCTTAAGGCTAATCTTGTTCAGTATCCAGCTTGCCTTCCATTGCAGTGGCACACCAGGTATTGAACTAAACAGCCCACCAGAGATCTGAGAAACTATTTAAGCTCTCTGGAAAGCATTTGAATCTATTGGGTGCTTGGGAAAGTCTATTAGACTTGGTCCCTTCGCCTCAAGGAGGTTTTAGGTGGCTATACATCACATCTGGAACATCTGGATCTGCTCATAGCAGATCTCTTAATCACTTTGAGATAAAAATGAGGTCTGATATATGCCTACCTAGATGTTTTGGCCCTGAAATTCTGTTGCCACAGAACTAGGAACTTCTAGGCTTTGTTAGAGCCAGCCTCCAGCACATCGGGGTTGAAAGCCCAACACCAAAAGGTGGGGGTTAACTACCAGCCCTGAATCCTGCCAGGCAATACACCTGTAAAATCCCCAGCTTGCCTCCACAGCTGCACTGAACATGCAGAAGCTCCTATCCCAGTATCTCAGGAGCAAAGTCCTTGATTCACAGGTAAGGTTGTTGTTCGTCCATCGATTTCGATGAAGACCTTGACATCTTGTGGATTGTGGGCCATCAACGGTGTGTCCGTAGATGGCTGATTAGACCGATGTTAGCACGGAATGTTCTGCCACATACTGAACAGAGAAATGTGGACACTGTTGCTTCAGCATTTGCAGCTCTGGCTTTACGGAGTGCTCGCTTCTCTTGTGCCAA